GGGAAAATTTTAAGAGAATTGTTAAATCGGGGTGCCTGCGTGGCTCAGTCAGTTAAGCGTTCGACTTTGATTCAGGTCATGATCTCACAGTTCATGGGTTCAAGCCCCGCGTCGGGCTCTGTGCTGACAGCTCTGAGCCTGGAGCCTGCTTCGGATTCTTTGTCTCCCTCTCTCTCTGACCCTCCCCTGCTCACACTGTCTGTCTGTCTCTCTCTCAGAAATAAATAAAAACATTTAAAAAATTTAAAAAATAAAAGAGAATTGTTAGATCATGGGTAGGTATCTTGAGGTTTACAGGAAACCACCAGAGCATCTTCCAAAGTAGCTTGTATGAAAGTTCTCATTGCTCCAAATCTTCACCAACATTAGGTGTCAGTCTGAATGTTAGCTATTCTAGTGGATGTGTTCTATTGAATTAGCTTATAAATGCTTTTAATTTTTGTTGTGTTTTTAAAACTACGTTAACTCCAGCATCTCTTTTTGGAGGGGTTGTGAAAAGCAGGCAAAATTGTTTTTTAAAAATGAATTAAGGCTATATTAAAACAAATAAGCGTGGGATTCTCTTCATATCATTTATTTTTTTTTATTTTAAAGTTTTTTAATGTTTTTATTTATTTCTGAGAGAGAGAGAGAGAGATCATGAGCAAGGGAGGGTCAGAGAGAGAGGGAGACACAGAATCTGAAACAAGCTCCAGGCTCTGAGCTGGCTGTCATCACAGAGCCTGATGCGGGCTTGAACCCATGAATTGCAAGATCATGACCTGAGCGGACGCTTAACTGACTGAGCCACCCAGGTGCCCCTCTTCATATCATTTAAAAAATTCAAGTATTTCTCCTGTAATGCAACACATACATTACTGGAAAACTGAGCATACTGCAAAGCCGTGGGTTTAAAAATAATAAGGCATATGAGGAAAAATAGGGTTGGCACAAACCTAAAAACATATGCAACCTTGTAAACAGAGGACTGACAAAACAGCAGCAACACTAATACCAGCACAATTAAATCTCTCACAGGCACTGCCAACAAAAGTCACTATCAGATGATACCTTTCAGTCCTGAGTCCTGAGACATTGTTTCCCTTCTTTATAATCAGGGCATACAACTTCTAAGGCAGATCAGTTTTATCAAAACTAAATATTGGATCCAGGAGATGGCTAACTCCATTGATCAATTTTTGTAGCACAGGTGTGAGGGGTCCTAAAAACGATGTCTTCACACCTCTTTCTTCTGCACCCACAGTTTCACCCCATAACACTGTAGCAAGTGAAGCAGTTCATGAATCCTCCAAACCAGCCACTTCTTTCATGAGAGAAAGGTACTTCCGCAGGATGTCCACTTGTTTCTTAAAACAGTCCTATGTTCTCTTTAATTGCGATCACTTCTTTGCTCAGCCCAGAACATTAACATGCTGGGAAAACTGCATGTGAATCAACAGTGCAATTTCCACTTTACACTGACCCTGTTCTCTATCTGGTGGTGTATAAGTTAACTTGCATTAAAAAACACCTATGTAGGAAAATAAACTATACAGGAAAAGCCCATTTTCAAAAACAAACCCAAAACTCATTGTATTTAACTCTTGCTGCATGAAACTTTTTAGTCTTATATTTTTGGTCATTCTATCAGTAGTTTCTTTTTCTTCCGAGCCTCCTTTTTTGGACAGACTAAGGAAAACTCAAGTTTCCTCTAGACTGAGATCAGCTCTCTGGCTTTTCCAAATTTGGCACATATCTAAACACAGACTGAGTTTTTGGAGAAATCAGAGGCAGCTAAGAAGCAATAGCCAAGTTGTAAGTTCAAAGGCCTCACAATAAAAAGCATAAGGTAATCTGGAGAATCCTAGATAGCACTCTTAGGATTAAGAAATTTCTGTATATTCTTCAACATTTTAAACTGTTGTTCCAATACTAGGTCTCATTATAGTACTCACATTACAATTAAATCAAAGGTTACTTTGGGTTTAGTACCTCACATAATTGTCATCCATCGGTCAGATATTATTCTTCACAGACACGTCTTTGTATAAATTCCCTTCCCCATTCATTCTGACACCACTTTACTTAACAGTAGCATTCCAGAACTTGATCAAGTTTTAGCCTGACCTCCAGGAAGTGTCTTGTGGAAAAAGCCACATGTACATCAGATACAAGATTACCCCAGATTTTTTTTTTTTTTTTTTTTTGAGAGCAGAGAGCAACAGCATGAGCAGGGGAGGGTCAGAGAGAGAGAGGAAGATACAGAATCTGAAATGGGCTCCAGGCTCTGACCTGTCAGCACAGAGCCTGACGCGGGGCTCAAACCCACTAACCGTGAGATCATGACCTGAGCCGAAGTCGGACGCTTAACTGACTGAGCCACCCAGGCACGCCTACCCCAGAGTACTGTGGGGGCAACAATTTAATGTTATGGTCCTAATAAACAGCGGCAATGAGATGAATTCTAAGTGAGAAAATGTCTGGGGCCCCGTGTAGTTTCTGGCTCTTGATCTCAACTCAGTTCTTACAGTTGTGAGCTCAAGCCCCACAGTGGGCTCCACACTGGGCGTGAAACCTACTTAAAAAATAAATAAAAATGAATAAATGAAAAATGTTTGTGGTTTCTTTATCACACTCATCCTCACATCACTTCAGGGCATTTTAATACCTACAGGATACGCCTATACCAGGATATGCATGGAAAGCCTCGTATCATTTAAAAATGCATATTTATGGGGAAAATGAAGACTATGTTAGAATAAAATGAAGCACAGAGCTATTTTTACTATGCTAAAAGCAGATATTGTCATTTATACTGAGAATAAAATAAAGTATGCATGAGGCAAATTTCCACAAAAAGAATAACCCAAAGTATGTACAAATTTGGGGAGAACACCTACTCAAAACTTACTAAAAATAACTCACCAGTATTGTGGGTACCACTTTTGGTGCTAAAGCTAATGAGTAATCTCTAAGCAAACTACAAAACAGTGCTTGAATGTCTGAATTCAAATAAATATGAATTCTTAGCTTCAAATGTAAAATAAAAAGATATGTGTGTTTGTTTTGGCTCTTTTGTGAATCAAAGTATCACAGGTGGGGTGGGGGGGGATCTAGTTTATAATGTTCTTTCAGTTCTCAAACTTTTATATTTGTTCATTTTATATGTTAACTTTTTATTTTTAAATAATTTCTGACTTATAGAAAGATTTTAAGATTACAAAAAAAATTCCCATTTACTCAGATTTCTTAAATGTTAGCACTGCAGAAGAGATGCCACTTTACCCTTAAATTAAATACCTATATTTTTAAAAGCAAGGTTGTTTTCTGACATAATTTAATACAAATATCAAAATGAGGAAATTAACATTTAGTAACAAAATACCATTATCTACTCTACAAAATGTGTCCAGATTTTTTCAAATGTCCCAACAATGTCCTTTATAACTAAAGGAAACACTGGGTCATAAACTGCACTGAGTTTTTCTACCTCTTTAGACTCCTGTAACTTGGAACAGTTGTTGTTTTGGGGGGTTGGTTTTTTGGGGGGGGGGTTTTTTTGGTCTTTCCTAACATTGACATTCTCTAAGTGTATAAAGCCAGTTATTCTGTAGAAATCACTTCAGTGGGGTTTGTCAAGATGAGACTCAGGCCAGATGTTAACAAATTTATCGTGATAACTATTTTGCAAGATATACAAATAACAAATCATTATGTTGGACACCTTAAGCTTTTACAATGTTATATGTGAATTATATCTCAATAAAACTGTAAAAAATAAAACCAAACATAAAAAACGGGAAAAAAAAAAAAAAAGGAAGATGAGACTCAGGCAGTGTTTTTCTGCCCAAGTACCACTACAGCGACACTGGGTACATCTCAGTGCGTCCTATCAGGAAGCAAGGATATCCGTCTGTCCCTTCACTGGTGATAGGGACTTTGATCACTCAGTTAATGTGAATCTGACACATTTCTCTATTGTAACATAGTAACATTCTAATGTTACATTTCCTTTTATAATTAATAAACATCTTACATTTGGGGGCCCAGGTTAGCTCAGTCAGTTGAGCATCCAACACTTGATTTTGGCTCAGGCCATGATCTTGCAGTTCATGGGATTGAGCCCTACATCAGGCTCTGTGCTGACAGTGCAGAGCCTGCTTGGGATCCCTCTCTCTACCCCTCTCCCACTTGAGCACACACACATGTACACTCTCACTCAAATAAATAAAATTTTTAAATAAAAAATAAATAACTTATGAGGAGTTACTTTCAGACTATGTCCATATCCTACTTCCATTAATCTTTTACTCAATAGTTTTAACACAGATCTTTTATTAATTCCCCACTTTCCAGAACTTTCTGAGCTTAGCATGAAGCTCCTTCTATCTCATGTCCACCTGAACAAATGGAGCTACTGCCAGCATCCACTTTGCTCTGAATCCTCTGAGACACAGTTAAGATCTCAGGAATTCACACATACAATCTCTAGGGCAGGATCACACAAGGACACTCACAAATAAAGAGGAAACCCAGTCTATCGTTCCTTCATGTGAAAACAGCAGCGTACCCTTGAAAGATTTTGAGCTGGCAGCTGAGAGCTATGTAGCATTCTTTGTCTTTGGTGCTGAGGAAACAATGGTTCAGTATTGTATAGAGTTTTATGCCAAAATTCTTCTATTTCACAGCTGAAAGGACTTACTCAGGCAAGTAATATATGTCCAGTAGCAATAATATAAACACTTCATCTTCAACATTTTTCTTTAAAATTTTGGTAATTTAAAATTTTACATATGTTACCCTTTTTCAGAAAAGACTCCCCTCTCCCCCAAACCAGAATTCACAGGTGAATTTTTATCTGCCCTCTTTTCTACACCCCTCCCACTTAAAGCTCTTCCCCCACCCCCGCCCTGCTCAAGACTTTATGTCCCTAGACTAGAAGCAATCTGGGGAAATCTAATAAAAGGTGGAGGGATGGATGAGTGCTCGTCTAGTCCTGGATTCTACAAAACTGTCCTTACCTGCTGTGGAAAACAGGTGCGGACTGAGTGCTCTGTGTAACCAAAAGATGGCCCTTCAAAGACAGCTGTTGGGAGCTTCAGAACTTCCTTCAGAAACTGGTCAAACTTGCTAAATATCATTAAGCCACCGGAATCTGACATCTGGGAGAAAACATCTATGAGAACAAAACCAAATAAAGTCAAAGTAGAAAGAAATATAAACTTTTTATAAACGATTCTGTTATTTGTATACTGGTCAAAAAGTATCATAAAGCTATTATGATTTTTAGTTAATATGTATCCTCCTTCATATTAACATTCTACAGTTACTTTACTGACCAGGTCCCTCTCTCCCACCCACTTAATATCTACTTAAACATCAAACCTAATAACCATTCATGTACATCTACCTACCTCTTCTTTTTGAGTGTGCATAACTGAATGATATATAACTTTTTATTTTACTCATAACAAACTTTGTTCCAAGAAGAATTTGTAGCAGCATACCTTTATCTCTTAGCATGTATATATGTGTTTATATAAGGCATATGTATGTTTGGGTTTATGAATATATTAGCATATTGATTTGGGGGTATGAAACAGTATTATATTTGTATATTCATATGCTACTAATGTAACATATTCCTGTGAAGGAATAAATTTGAAGGCAGCATAAAACATATTTAAAATATTCCATCCAGTGAGTTCCAAAGTAGAATAAAAAGAACTCCTATAAACTCTTCTACCCCAAAATACGTTGATACTATAAGATCTTATTTTTACCATAAAGTCTGACTCAAGCAGATGGGAAAGAAATTTCTAGTAATACTATTTCTTTATCTTCTTGGAAAGAGTCTTCTCTCTCCAGTTAGTTCTTCCTCTCTTCTCATCCACAGTCAGAAAAAGAAAAATCACTGGCAGCTCAATATCAATGTGTCAAAGAAATGTGACCTAGGCTTTTTTTCAGGCTTTTGAGCTTCCTTACAAACAACTGAGTGAGTTAAACATGCATAGAAAAATCATTTCCTGAGGACCTACCAAGTGTGGCATTTTGAAAAGTCATACTCTATATATAATTAATAAGTATAGTAGAGATATATATGTAATTGATATATGCTATATATGCATTATTCTTTAGGTTTAATTTGAGGTATTTATCCTGAAGCACTAGACGTAGAAAAAAAATACATTTTAAATACATTAACCAAAGAAAGATAAAGTGTTAGATTATCAACTCCACAGATTAACTTTTTAAAAGTCATTAACATTAAAAAAAAAAGTATCAAAGGAATGAAAACCTGCAATATATCCTCTCTAAATAGCTGCTAATTTGTAGCTGGAAAAAAAGTATTAAATACTCATGGCAGGTAGGGAGAGTCAATGAGAGGCTAAGAGAACTACGATCCTAGTGGAAAATAAAATCAATTAATGAACAAACACATACTAAGTTCCTTCTATGTGATCCAAGTGCCAAGCATTCTGCTAGGTGTTAGGAAACACAACAAAGAAGTGTGATAAACAGTCTTCATTCCCCAAGAAAGTTTCAGTGTAGTTGATAAAAATAAGATACATATGAAGCAAAGAAGAATTTAGGGCTAATTGACACTAAATGGAACAGAAAGAACAGAGACATAAAGATGCCTGTTAAGCCTCACTATTTGTCAAGCACCACAACGGGTAACCATGGCCGAGGCTGCCTGTAGCCACCCAAAGTTAATTTTCCTCATTTCTACTAGGAATAGAACACTAATTTTATTTTGTACAACCAAACTAAGAGATTAAACTTAAAGCCTCCTTTTAGCAAATCATGGTCATGTGACTAAGTGCTAGCCAATGAGACTATAAGCAGAAGGGTTGTGAGGGACTTCCAGGAAGGTTGGTTAAAGAAAACTGACAAAGGTGGAAAGCAGGCCCTTCTTTCCTCATCCTCTTCCTCCTTTTGCTATCTGAAATGTAGTTATGATGGCTGGAGCTCCAGCAGCCACCTTGGACTATATGGTAATTGTGATTTTGATACAGAAGCCATGCGCTCAAATGGTAGAAAACAAAGGTAGAGAAAGCCTGGATCCCAGATAAACTACCACATCAGCCTTGGACGACCTAACCTTAGACTTCTTTTATGTAAGAAAAATAAACTTCAGCTTTGTTTAAGACAATATCATCCTGGGTTTTTGTTTTCAAGCAACAATCCCTAATACTAAGTGCCACTATACATTACTAAACACTACCTCACTATAATCTCACAAAAAGCTGTAAGAAGGAAACTAGCTTAGAAAGGTTAGCTCGCTTAGGGTTAAAAAGTTTGTCAGTACCTAAGTCAAGATTTAAAGTTACACTTCCCTGACTCCATCACACACCCTTCTTCAAAATGTAGTTTAGAATAGTGACAAAAACACATAGGCAGGAACTGTCAAGACAGTTCTAAAGGAAAGGAATTAGAAGCTAGGCCTTGAAAGGTATGGAACGATGAAGTCAAAAGAGGTTGGAGGTGGGGCTGGGACACACAACGAGAGAAGAGGGGGCAAGTGTCTACGGCAGGAATTTACAATGTATGTGTTAGTGGAGATAAGCAGGAAACACTGTACTGTATTCTTCAATAAGAGAGACAAGTTAGATTGAGAAATAAAGGGAAATAAAGACAGAATAAGAGATATATCTGGCATGAAAGAAAACTTAGAAGGAGGAAAGCACTTTGAATTTGGTTTAAAAACTCTTATGTAGGGAAGAAATATTTAGAAAGCTAGGTTTCTGTAAAATGAGACTGTTTGGGACCAGCAGAATGGATAAAAGAAGAAGAACAGGATTAAGGAAATGAGCTAGAAAACCTTGTAAAGGACACACATATGAGGTAGCGACTGTGCAAACTTCAGTAGTGACAGTAAGGTGGGGGGAGGGTCACCTCCAAGACATTTCAATGCAGGAAACCACAGCTAATGGCAAGCTGGACTAGGGAATAAAGGAATTTAAGAAGTTAGGGTTATTCTAAGTTTCCAGTTTGGGAAAATGACAACCTTGACTGGAAAAAAAAAATTAAAAAAAAAACTGAAGCTAGAGATACTTGGCTTGGCACCTAAGTGTATTGAACCAGTCAGCAAATGTCCAGGCAGAACCATCCTGCAGGTAGATAGAATCTGAGTACGGGGCCACAGCTCAAGACTGTGGATACAGAGCTTTGAAGATGCTGCCAATTATGTGAAAAACTGATGCCCTTTGAAGGAGGAGAGAGCATAGTAACTTCATATTTAAATAGCTGGCTGCTAGTCTTATAGTGAGGAAAATAATCATTCATTAAATCTGAATGAAAACAAAGGGGCGATATGGGATGTGGCAATGGGCCTACTACTCAGTATCTACCTTCCCCTGCTTGCTCCCCAACTGAACCCTGATGGTGTTGAAAATGGTAATGTGCTCCACTTGAAAAGTGACTTCCGAGTCTCTTTTGTACACGGTAATTCTAAAGTGAATTTCTGGGAATGCTTCTGCTTTCCTGATAGAGGCACTTCTTCCTTCTTTCTGCTTAGGACGAGAATGCGAGGCCTGGCATACGGCAGTCATGTATGACCATGTATGCCATGTGGCAGAGCAGGATGAGAGGAGGGCACCTGAGTCTTTGATGGCATCCTTAACTCATGGTACCAACTCTGACCTACCTGCCTTTGGACTTATTTTTACACGAGAAAAATAAATCCCCATGTGTTGAAGCTGCTGTTGGTTAAGTTTTCTGTTGCCACTCAATGCATTCAGTAACTGATAAATTAGCAAGGTATTAAGTTCTACCCACTAACTAAATGGTGGAAATATTCAAGACCAGAAACTTTAGCTACCAAGTACATAAATACACATACCTACAGCTTCACAATCACAAAGACATCTGTGTAAATACTCACACTGACACACACCTAACTCATATATAGTAACAAAAGGAAATGACTGGACAATAAAATGACCAACCTCACCCTCAAAAAAGTATTATTTTCTATTACACTTAGTTACTATGCCCTATAATATACTTAGAGTAAATTTTTTAAAAATTCATTAAAAAAGAAACTATCACTTAATAGGGCCATATTACAATTATAAGAGAATAAGAACAAGTTTCTTTGTTTTATTTAATAAGAGAGACACTGCTAGACACCCAAATTGAAGGCACAGTGAAGTAATTTATTATTGCTTGAGTGATTGGTTTACAAGAGTTTTTTTTTAAAAAGATTAGACTTCTTTTATCTGTAAGAAAAACAGTAAAATATCATTACAACGAGTGAACTTAGTGTGAATTCCTATATACAAATACAAAGATCTCAGCAAAGTAATAAGTAAAAGATGGGCGCCTGGGTGGCTCAGTGGGTTAAGGGTATGACTCTCAACTTCGGCTCAGATCATGATCTCACGGTTGGTGAGTTCAAGCCCCACATTGGGCTCTGTGCTGGGATTCCCTCTCTCTCTGCCCCCCCCCCACCCCTTGCATGCTCAGGCACTCTCTCTCTCTCTCTCTCTCAAAATAAATAAATAAACATTAAAAAAAGAACTAAGAGACAATAAAATTTAATAAAAAATTAAACTAGTCCTCTAATTAAAGCTCTCAACCCTTCGGCATTAAGGGACTAAATTATTTCCCAGAACACTGGTTAATTTCCCCAGTAATTCTCTTTCTATTTATATACCTCTGAAAAGAGGTATACTAATTCCCCATTAGATGTTTCCAGATTAAAATGTAGGTTTTCTCCCTTGTGAAAAACCCATAATCAAGTCCCTAAATGCATACGTATACACACTTTAAAAACACACTTGAAAAAATATTCTGGAAGCACCTGGATGGTTCAGTCAATTAAATATCAGACTCCTGATTTCGGCCATGATCTCCATGGTCTCACAGTTGATGAGTTCAAACCCCACATCAGGTTCCACAGTGACAGTGCAGAGCCTGCTTAGGGTTCTCTCACTACCCGCCCCCCACCTCTGCCCCTCCCATGCTTTCTCTCTCTCTCTGAAAAATAAATAAACAAACTTTAAAAAATTCTGTCTTTTGTGTAATGGCAAAATAATGCTACTATTCTACCATGATCACATATGTTTTTCTGGTGATAATGACCCTGGTTTTAGTCATTGCATCTATCCACTCTTTTTCTCCCCATATAACCAATCATACACTTCTGCAAGATAATAGGGTTGTTTACAA